ATTTTTAACATGGTCTCACTATACAAACTCAGCTCTCTGCTGAGATAAAGAAAACTGCACAAAATCCTCATTCTTTGCATTTACAGTATGCAGCCATCACTGATTAGTTTACACCAGCTGCAAAAAATCATCACCTGTAACAAGAGATTCTTCTTGTCTTGGCAGAAATCTTCCAGTAGTCTTCAGTCCTCATAGAAGACAAATATTTTACAGGCAGTTTTCTTCAAGGCAAAGTACACAGCGTTCCATGTTGATTTTTAATTTTAAGATAAATACTTTCACTTCCAGTTTGCTACAAGCAAAAATCACTAAAAGCATAAGCCTTTTACAAGTTCTGTAAAATAAACATGCTCCTCTAGAAAAACTGTTCTTTGTTTTACAGATGATTTCATAATTCAGTGGCATTTCCACGGCCAGTCATGCACTACTGCAGTCAGAAAAGATGAATTCATCCCTCTAAGGAATTAATACAATACTGAAGGACCATGTTATGGTCTTCTAATTACTTTATGGCACCCTACAGAGAGAATCAACTTTGAACAGCAACACATTTCTGTTAATGAAAACATTGCTGTACTAATGTATCATTTTAGTATGGCGTGTCAGGCTGTCTCAATCGACCTCCTGCATGCAAGTCAAGCTTCCACAAATGCTAAAAATCTTAATTATTATACTTAATTCAAGAACAGTAAGCCAAATTCTTCCCCAAAACAGAAGAAAATAAAGGAATACCCCTAAAAACAGATGGTGGGGTAAGGAAGGCTGTATTTGTTTCCTTTATATGAAGACATTGTGCAAAACCAACACTCCACTGGAGGCCACTGTCACAGCTGACAAGTTTGCATAACCTCTTTCTAGAGCTACAGAAGAAACACAGGAATTGTAATCAACATCCATAAATTACAGCTACAACTCTGAGAAATGCCCAAGGACATACTTATCAAATAGAGCCAATACTATTAACACAATGGCAATTCATTGATTTTTCCTTACAGTAATTCCAATCTATATGCAGGCATATGAACTTGGAAACCAATTCTGAATAGGATTTCAAACACTTCTGTTCTAGGAAATGTTAAAAAGAAAAGAAACCAAACCACTAACCCAGCTGTAATTATCATTATTTGTTTCTGAAGCAACTACTACAGTTTCATAGAAAAAGCTCAAAATGCATTAGGTCCTGCAAATGCTTTTCTGTGCTGAAAACATTGCCAAGATGCTCTTGCTAAAATAATGACCCCAGGAAATGTAGTGAAATGTACTTCCCTTCCCCCTCCAAATAGACTATGCAGAGATGATCACACCACACACATTTCAAGTCAGGTTTTGACCAAAAACTCAGGTTTCTAGGGTTCAGCATGAGAGCTTCATCCCCTGCCTTGGCTCTGCTGCGCTGGCAGCAATTGAACCATTTCAGCATTAAGCTGCTCCATGGTACGTTCCTGTATGGTCTCACTGATTTTCTGATGGTTAATCTCACACCGTCGTTAACAGTTACAGCTACAGGCAATCGTGAGAGAATGATCAATTAAGCACATGATTAGCAATTTTCTTTGCCTTGTCCAACCCCTTCAAATTAAGTGGTTCAGGCTTGACCATTGTGCCACAATAAAAAGGAGTAAAACACATTTAACCTCATTATTCCTGTTTGAATAGCAAATTACCTAAAACCAACTCATTCAGCCATGGCAATGAGGAGCTGCAAATTGTTTGTTAGCATTGTCTTCTCCACATGTCCTTTCTGCTGTGAGTTCTATTACATCACCTGCAATTTATAAAGCAACAACACAAAACACTTCAGAGGACACCAGTTGGATAACAAGTGTTTTACAACAGTTAAAAGGGGGCAGCAGCACAGAGCAGAGCCTCAGATACAAAGAACGTGAGGAACAATTTGTTTGTTATATGAGTGACCTCTCTAAAGCCAATGGAATAATATGGAATTTAATTTAAAAAATGTGGTGCAAAAACTGGACTGTTTTCAACTACAAACTATCTTCAGGATTTTTTAAGTAGATGTTCTAAAAGTGAAATGGTAATAGCTTAATTGACAAACTCATTAATAGTAACTCCTCCAAATCTTATCTTTTTCCCTATTTGGTTATCATCCCTTCCTTCCCTCACACACCTCTCTTCGTCAATTAATTTTTTTCCTATACAGAAAAGCTGTCGTATTCCACAAGTTGTGCATTTAGGAACTGGGAAGGGTCTGTGATTCATCCTGCTGAAATGAGATCAGCATCCCCATGACTTAGAAAGATACCTCTATTAAATTAAAAAGGAAGAGAGACATCTGTGTATGAAAATAGGGTGAAAGAATATCCTGAGTCCAGGAGCTGAACAACTGTCAGCACAAACAGCAGTCTCATTACTGGGGGAGCACTGGGGAACAGAATGGCCACCATCAGCAGAAATTAAATCTTAATAGATCCAACATTTAAACTTGCAGTTTCAGAATAAAAACTGATGCAGAAAGATACAGCTCTCAGAGCACTTCCTTACTCCTTTCCTCCTGGCTGAAAAGAAGTTTACAGGAAACCTGTATTAGCAGCACAGAACTGCCTTTGGTTCACATCCATGAAGGATTCTCATAGGAACAAAAGCTCTGCGTATCCCTTTGGCTCCTCCAAGGCTCATTCCCAACCTGCAAGTTCCTCAGTGAACTGAACAAGCAGTGCTGCTGTTCACACATCTCTATTTTATTAATCTGTTTTTGCTATTTGCTGGATGTAGATCTTAGACAATCTCCCACTAAAGTTATTTTCTAACTCATGGCAATGTTGCCAGCCATAACATTTCATCCACTGCTTGTAGGGACACCCAGCACTCAAGAGCAATCTCATATGAGATTCCGACAAAAACATGGAATTAATTCCCATACATGCCAACAGCTGGGGCACAGATATTTACATCTGCACTGAGTATGCTCAGCTCTCAGAAGCTGGGACACATCACCATCAGTAATATGATCAAATGTGGCTGAGTGAAAATATGGTGAGTGGAACTCTAAACTTCTGCAAATCAGCCAAGTCATATTTAAACATTTTTGTTCCAAGGCATTTTGGGAGAGATCTGGACTGGCCTTTGTAGCACTGCTTTATTCCTAAGTGCATGCCTCATTTAGATGTGAAATACTACAGATTTTCATTTAGATTACCTCAAAACAATTTACTAATTCAAACGAGAGGGAAACGAATAGAGCTGATAATGATGAGCTGTTTATTTTCCCCCTAGTTTTCCTTCCTTCCATCTCTGCTTACTGTAATAATTAATTACACAAAAATAACAGACTTGAACTGTCTAGTTTATTCCTTGAGACTGTGTCATCATCTTCCACGCTGCCAGAACTCATTTTCTGTCCTTATAGATTCATATCTTAGATTTTTTTTTTCATTTTTCTAATACTAATAGAAGAACAGCAATGTTGGGCAGCCCACTGCTAAAAACACAGTATTAGACACTGCCCTAAAGAGCTGTGCCACAAACCACCATGTAAACAAAACTGTCCAAAGTACAAATTAAGGGTGCTCTTTGGAAGTTCCAGTTAACAAGTTTTGATTTCTAATAAAAGAAGAAAAGGTCTGAACTTTGAGGAAATTCAACAGTTATTTCAAATATTCATTTAAAACTTTCTTTCAGAACAATTAAACACATTTCATTCTAATTAAGCAAAAGGTATATCAGAACAGCAAAACCAGGTATGAAATATAATGCATTCAAAATGGTTAAACAGCAGACAAATATGCACACAGCAAGGAAAGCAGAGTTCTGCAGTGCTAAAGTAGAGCCCATCAAACTACATTAAAATCCCAGGGGAAAAAGGGAAAGAGGCAAAACCTGCACACAGGGCAGGTGACTCCATAAACAGTTCTTGTTTTCCTTACAGAATCCAATACTGCCCCAACTTCTTAGCAGTTTCTGGAGTACAAAAGTGTCAGCAAAGTGATTTTCTTCAGGTCTCCTGTTTTTAAGAATCTGACAATAGCAACAGTGATAAAATGCAGCAAGTTCTTTCATATGCTATGAAAAAAAAAGCATTGAAAGAGGGATTTTTGGCTGTTTGCCAAATGGCAAAATACATGAACTGTTGCTGAAGAATACCTTTAGAAATAAAAAACCAGCACAAACCAATTATTTCTATATGGTGTGAGTTTGTTGAAGTTAGTGGAAAGCGGTAATCTCTCATCCTATTACTATTTGCAGGTTACATTTCCTGAACATCACAGAAAATGCAAGAACAAAATTTAGTCTTTAATGTAGCACTAGGTCTGTCTTTAGAAATCTTCAACTCCTATGTAAAAGATCATGGGTATTTTTCTGGATGTTAATGAAGTTTCTTTCACAGCAATTTTAGTAAAACACTATTTTTGATTGCAATCTCAAATACTGAAGTGCAAGGAAAAAATAACTAAGTGAGTTTTTTTAGATGCAGTTGTAGTTTAGCTACTTCATATCTAAACCAACTCAACTATTTCTTATAATGACGTTTCAACAGATATCCCATCTTATGGTAACGCTTTTGCATTAAAAGAGGTAGACTGCTATTGCCCATCATTTCACTTATCCAGCCAGCAAGTACATAAGAAAAACAACCCTTGATCTCCTCACAAGCAGGAAAATGCACTATAACCATCTAACATACAGTGAGAGTGAGAAATTACAAATATGGAAGAAAATAACACTATCAACCTTAGAAGTACATATTCTTTAGAAACAAATAAAACCACATAGCTATTCATATTTTATGTGGCTACTACCATGACACACACATTTTGCAAAGTAATTACCATAACGTGCAAATACTTCTTTAAGAGAAGCTACAAAATAAATCTGGTTTTTAGTGGTATTTTCAAGCATGGATTGTATTATGCAGCCTCTATACACTCTCATAAGGTAATTGGTAAGAACTTCTAGCATTTCATCTTTTACAGCACTGAAAAGTCAATGTTATTTAACTGTTGCACAAATGTTAATAAAAAGTCATAATCCAGGGAGCTTACCCCGGGTCAACAGAAGAAATCCAAGAACCAAAGTTATTTCCAAAGTCCAGACAAGAGATCTGGAAGAGAGAATAACAAAGGGTTTGTGACAAAGCTGACACGGAGTCCTCTGAAAGGAGGAAAATCAATTGTGACATTTTTCATTTATTTGTAAATGCCTCTTTGGCAGTATGCTCACTCCAAACGACAGCTGACTCTTATAGAAAAGGGGAGGTGATGGTAAAATAGAGGAATCCTGACAGTTGCTTTAATGAGATTCTGCATTAGGATCACTCCACCACTTTCCCTCAACAAGGACTGTGCCCTTCACTTTCAATCTTATATTCTCCAATTTGGAAAGCATTAATCCCATGAAAAACTCAACTCAGCCTCCTCTAATCACCATCACAGCTCTTCTTTCCACCTCCTTCACCATCTCACTGACATTTATGTATGGAGTCCACTCACAATTTAAAATACGTATAATTAGCATAGAGCAAATTAAACTTCAACCTGATAGCATTATTTTAATCAAAGTCTAGTTGCAGTGTGTGTGGTGAGGACAAGAATCTTGAAACAGACCTTGGTTGGTATCAGGAGTGCAAACTCACAGAGCTTTCCTTCCAGCTCTAGGAATTAGGCTGCTGGAAGTGTTCAATGCAGGAACCTTTGATGCTCACATTTCCTTTATTACAAAAATAAATAGGGAAATCTGCAACATGACAGGGGAGTTGCCTGGCAAATACTGAGAGAATAATCATTCTGGGAACAGAAGCAGACAAGGAATTTTAATAACTGTAAGAACAGGCAACATGATACCACCTATTTCAGGAAAAGACCACTGGCTTGAGAATCCAGTGCTTGAGCACACTTATTCTGGCACAACTCTTATGTGACATAATCCATTCTTATGTTTTCCAACAGTAACACATTTTCTCTTGTTCAGTCTCGTTTTCTAGTGCTATATCACATATCTTTCAATGAAACTAGATGACAGCACTGAATAGATCATGGTAGCCTCAGGCTGCACTGAAATTAGTATTTTATCCTCTGTTAGCATCAGTAAATCATTTGTATTACAATGATAAGGTTTTGTAAGAAAAATAAACACACACACAAAAAAACCATACAGGCATTGCTATAAGAAGCCTGAATCCCAGCTCTTTTGCATGCTCCAGCATCTTCTGAAAGATGAAGCTGGTGAAGGCACAGAGAACAAGTCCTCTGAGGGGCAGCTGAGGGAGTTGAAGGTGTACAACAATTTTTTCACTGGAAGGTGTGTCACACCCTGGCACCCCCATGGCCAGAGGTATTTACAGGATGTGGCACTGGGGGACACGGGCTTGTGGGGGATTGGGAAGCCTTGGGTTAATGGTTGGACTCAATGATCTGATTCCAGGCAAACAGGCTTGATTTGAAAAACCTAAAACATCCCCTCTCGTACTCATCAGAAAACAATTCCATCTCACCTCTGGATGAAAGCTGCCTAGTAAGTCATGCTTGGGAAATTCACAGTTGATTACTCTACACCATAATCTGCTAGACAATATACAACATAAACATTGAATAAACATCATTTACTTCCCGAAAGAAGAGAGAGATGGGCGATCTTCATAAGTTACAGAGCAGTTTGCCTGACAGCCTTCAGAGAACCAGGGGAGTAATCCACAGCTCAGCAAATCTTCCATTTCTCACTAAATTAATTAGTTAAATAAAACACCCAAAACCTTTTGAGTATTGTGGAGGTTTCCAGAAAAAACCCTTTTGGCACCTTCAATTTGAGGATGCAGAATAAAGGTGTAACTTTGAAACCTTTTACAGAATCTTTCCTGGTATATAAGATCTTTAAGAGTCTCAACTGATGGAATCAAGGACTGTGATTCACTTTCAGTATCAGCGTTTTTTCCCTCTGAGATTCACTCTTTGCTGAAACTCTTTTAAATTAGCGTAACAAAGCCCAGCACAATATTAAATCACCTCCCAAGCATATCAATCTCAGCTACCAAAGAGAAAATAGAGTACACTTCAAAACAAATTCTCTGGAAGTTTCTTCTGATTGATATCAGATCTCTTTAGTTAAACGACCCCTCATATTTCATTCCTAAAAATATACAGTTACTCCTAGTAACCTTTCCCAGTTGGATGGAAGGCAGGAAAGGCCAGATTCTGGCCTCTGCTCTGGTAAGGGAGTACCAATGAAAAATAATGAAGTCAGCACACATTTGGAAAAAAAATTATTATTTAGCTCTAAGGAAGGTTGCTTTGTAATTCAGACAGGTGATCTGGAGGCACAGCAGAGCAATAATGACTAACATCACATACTAGAGGGAGTATAAATTTTAATGATATCGTTCATAAAACTCACATTTTAAAGGTTACAAAACAGAAACAAGCTTACAAAGAAAACACATAAATCATTCAAGGTGTCAGGTTCCTATTCCTTGGCTATTTTAAGAGCTAACGGCCTGTCCATCGCTAAATAAACTGGAATATGCTATACCCATTTATGCAGGACTGAAAAGGGAATGTACACCAGAGTTCAGCAACCATTCACCCCTACAGACTCTATTCTTAACAACACAATAGCAACAGCCATGTGTAACCTCACTGATTTATTCATTACTTGACAAAATTAAACAAAAACACTTGACCAAATTCACCTACATCTAGACAACATCACAACAACACATAATTAGCACCATAATTACAAGGACTCCTAATCCAGAGACATTAATGCACTTCAGTACTTGCTCATACACACTTCATTGTAGGTCCTTAAATATAGGGCATTAACAGAGGATTAATGGGGCATTGCCATCAACAAACCACATTACTTTCATCCCATGCAGATGAAAGAGAAACAGAGGCTTATATTATCATTTTTAATTACTGTAATTGGTCTGCAATTGCAACTGCATCTATTGTTGTCCCCATACACACATTATCAACACAGAACAATTCAAATGGCTGGCTGGGAAATGGCCACTTAGGGCAAATAAACCACTGCAAACACTGAACTTTGACAGACCCATGATTCAAATCCACAAATCACCTTTTGAGCTGGGTTTCACAAAAATGACATGTGGTTTGGCTCAGTGGTCATTTCTCTTAGCCACAGAAGGTGGCACCTCCATTTCACTGACAGTAACTTCCACAGCACAAACTCCCCCTCCAAGGGAGCAGCACCCAAGGGCCAGGCTCACCACAAAGAGCTTCCACTGCAAAAGGCTTTCTGCAATCCACCTCAGAGATCAGGCCTTCAGGATTTGGTTTTCAGAGTCACTCTGTCTTCACATTTCTTTTTTTATATTAGAGCTGTTTAATGGATAACCCAAAATTGATTTATTCATTTTTTTTTTTCAGGAGTAGACACACATTGAAAGACACTTGAACAAGGTTGTTTTGCCTTGCTGCAAAGTCCATCAAGATTAGCAGTAAAAGCCTTATCCAAAATCCTCCTATGTCAAACAGAGTATTTCTACTGGCTGGATTTAATACTGAATGCAGACTTGGGATCTATTCTCAATCCAAACTCGAGTGCAGCAATCAACCACTCAACTCCAGAACTCTCCCTGGCTACACTCATGGGATTCAAACTGCAACCTCATACTGGAAATTTCTGCATCCAATTACCACTTATCAGAGGCCACCAATCTCTTAAACTTTAATGGTTAAAGAAAACTCAGTGTTTGGTTTACAAAGGCAATAAACACCTTCATGGCTTTCAGTAACCTCTTTGCCTTATACTTGTGTTTTTAGTTCTGGAATCTTTTCCTGTACCTCTGGAGGAACTTTATTTAAGTAAACTGCTAACCTATTATTTTTCCAGTCTTTGTTTTCCCTAGGAAATGATTTAAGAAGAAAACCCTCGAACAGTGATCTCAGCATTCATACAGCAGTGAACTTCAGATACAGTAATTGCATAGCTGTGAGCTATGACGACTTTCCCATGGGGGAGAAATGACCTGGTAATTCACCAATGACAAAGTCAAAAGTAAGGTAAGCCGGGGGAGGGAAAGGATTTCCCCCTAGGATGAGATAAATATAATTTCTCACAGCAGTGTATATGTCTCTTAAGCCTCAGGTGGTTTTAAGTTAATGAGATTAGTTCCAGCAGGCAGTGAAATCCCAGGATATAGGAATTATATTTCAGCAGTTTTCACTTCATCCAGCAAGCACGGTGGAGTCAATCTTTGTGTCATTTTGTTATTGTCCTGGTTTGGGTCTTGTTCTCAGGCTCAAGCCTGGCTAAAGCACCTCATAACTTTGACTTAAAAGCTTAAGCATCATGTAAAGTGTGTTTAAATGTTTAAAAGGGAGGAGAGAAGCACCAGGCTTAATCCGTAGAAAAGGATTTTTTGTTTAACTTTTCAGATGTGCTTTTATTGAAAGGAATTTGTTCTTGTACTTTTACTAAACCAAGGTCACATGCATTTTTATCCTGAACACAAAAAAAAAAGCCCCCAGAATGCATTGCTGTAAGAAACACTGCCTTTAAAATATTTACACCCTAAAAAGATGGACATGAACAGGTTTGGATGACTGGCTAGTTCAGCATTTTGGTAATAACCAAAAAGAGCTCCTATCCAGAGACCACCCACTGGATGTACAAGCTGCAGCTTCACTCCAGTCCTCAGATCTGCTCATACAAGAAAACCTTCACTCCTTTATACCATTAGAACTGTAAAGCAGAAGGCTTTTAGAAGATTAAAAAAACAAGGTCAGATGATAACACTGATCTCCAGTAAGAATTCCTCGACAACCAGCCCTATTTTGACTTACAATCACTGAATAACTGCTAATGTAGCAATTGTTTTACACTCTAGGTACTATTTTTGGTTGTGAATTTAAATTTAACCTTCCTGACATCATCACTGTGAAGAAAACGCAGAAAAATCTAGTGTTGCCAACATGATTTAGGAAGCTCTTTCCCATCCAACAGGGGAATGACCTTTACTCCTCTTGTGAAAATGTGCAGACATCACATTAAGGAAATGCTCATGTTAGTCCCAGGCCTCTTTCCAAGACAGTCTGATTAAATTTCATATCCAGAAAGCACATGGAGGAATTATTTTTATTGGGGTAATTTAACCCCAAAATA